TCTATAGGCCTGTTCTTTTTGGCTGAACTTTTGCACCCGTTCATCGTTCTTCCTCATAGAGATATAAGAATAGAGGGCAAAAGCCGTAGGTACAGGCGTTAGCGGGATAGAAAGAGAACGCTGCATAGTTACTCGTGCCATTCTTGTTTAATGACGCATGCGCGCAGCCCATCCATGTTTACTTACAAGCATGGTAGTGAATATGCCGGAATTAACCGCTTTCGATTTTACAAATGTTTTTGTGTACAGTTTTTTTAAAAAAGTGTAAAGTGTATCGTGTGCAAAAAAGAATCAAACCGATTTTCTGATCGCAGTTTTCATAAGTAAGTACACACATATTGTACGTATACATAACAAACATACAAACCTAACCTTAATAAACATTGTAATTAATTGTATAAAAATTGATATCTGTAGTTTCAATGATACTTTTCTATTTTAACTATAATTTCTTTATTTTTTACTTTATTTACCATAATTCTTGCTTAATGACACATATTCTCATCATAATTTTCATCATATACATGATAAAGAAGAATATTAAAGGTACCATTTCTTCTGTATTTGCAATATTACTTTTTTAACACCATTATTTTCATTACAATTAATTAAATCATACATGAGGATTGTTTATTTATAAATCTAGCATTGCATTTTAACATTTTCAGTCCTATCAAATATGTAACGCGTACTTATCACGACAGTGTCCAAAACATGAATTTGGACACTGTCGTGCTTATAAACAAAATATTTCGCATCATTTCCATATTCTTTCTTCATGATTTTAGAAAGGAACATGTTTTCCGCTGTCTTCGCCAAAAAATCCGAATGTTTTTAATACATTTTCATGTCAAAATCAATTACTTTGCATTACAACTCATCCGCCGGCGTTTGAAATCCATCGGCTCCGCGGGGGTCAGCCACTCACGCGTCAGCCTACTGCTGACGCGCTCTATTCTTATATCTCTATGTTCTTCCTCTTTTTTTCCTCCTGGATAGAAAAGGAAGAATGATGAACTGTGCAAAAGTTGAGCCAAAAGGAACAGTTCTATAATCTCTTAAGGCCTGAATTTTAGCTCCTATTGTTTTGATTGGTCAAATTTCAGTCTTTCAATCTTCAATCTCGATCTTCAATGCCTAGTCTGATTCCGGCCTGATTCCGGCCTAAAGCCTTATGTCCACGATGCTAGAAATTGGTCCGAGATCTCGGAGAGAGAAAGAATTAACCAATCACATTTAAACAATTTAGTCACATGATCAACGCGATTGGTCAATTCTTTCTTCATCCGAGATCTCGGACGGATTTCTAGCATCGTGGACACTGGGCTTAATAGCGTTTTCGGTTCGATCGAATTTACACTAGCCTGGGTTGGATTAATCTTTCCTATTGGTTGACGTTACACGCTCTACCAATAGGAGAACACAAAACGCCATTAGTCCGGATCTACAATAGAGTTTTAAGCCTTAAGCCATAAGAAATGGACGAATCATAGTCGATTATTCTCCTCGAATTCGACTGTAATTGGTCAATTTCTTACGACTTAAGGCTTAAAACACCTATTGTAGATTCGGAGTAATCCAACCCAGGTTGGTGCAAACCCAGCCGTGCCGAAAACGCTATTAGTTTCGTATTTCCGGTGGCACAGTTCCAGGTGGCGCCAGGGGGCCTATCCCCCACTTCTATAAGAGAGGAGTTTATAGGTTCGTACTGGTTCGTACCCCCTCGTGCCCCTGGTGTGAGTTCGTGCTGCGTGCATCGGTGCATCAGCGTACGTGCGACGTTTGTTTCGCTTATCCGTCCGTTGTGATTTTAGTGATTTGTCGTCGTGCAAAGTCGACGAGGTAGTGTCGCGAGGATCCGCGGGTTTCGAGGTTCATGGACGTGTGCCATCGTTCCGCCGTCAGCTCGTAAGGAAGGCGTCGATCTTTTAACCGCCCCGCCCCGCTACAACTTGATACCCTCGGTAGTCGGTACCCTCGTGCAGAGCGGTGTTTCCGTCCCGTTTGCAGACGTAGTAAATTTTACGATGTAAACGAGGCAGCGGAGAGGCAAGAGAAAGTCTCTCGCGTTTTGTCCTATCCCTCTCCGTCCCCCCCTGAGTCGAGAAGGGTGGATCGTCCAGGTGTCGAAGGTGAGAGGAGCGCGAGGAGATCCCCGTTCGGGAGTCTTGCCCTGACGGTGACATCGACGTTTAGAGTTTGAGTGCACAGTTGACAATCCGGACAACAAACATGTCGGGCGCACCACAAATGTCCAGTGGGCTCAGCAAGCTAAAGAAGAAGCACTTCCGGGTGAAGCACCAGAAGGTTAAGCTGTTCCGCGCGAACGAGCCGCTGCTCAGTGTGTTTATGTGGGGCGTCAATCACACGGTAAGGCAGCGCGCAATCCGCATCGCGTGCTTCAATGTCGCGTGTTGATGTTTTTCGTCGTTTGACAAACGTCATCATCGTCATCGTCACTTTTCTATTTTCATTGCACGTCCGCGTATTCTCCCGCCCGTCGTAGATCATTGCGACATCGTCCGTTGAATGGAACAACGTAATATGCAACGTAATATACGGCTTCGAATCGCCCGATAACGCCGTATAATTGTGACAATTGCTTTTTAATTTCACATCACATGTACGTTGATACTTGACAAGACGCACGGTCAAGTGTCGAGCCTCCTTCAAACTTACTCTGGTATTTTTCGTTGTTCGACAATGAATCGGTTGAACTTGACCAATGAATTTTAATTAATTAAGCCTAACGTTTCATGAGATAAATCTATAATGTTACGTTTGTTGCATTACAGATAAATGAACTTAGTCACGTTAACATTCCAGTAATGCTCTTGCCAGATGATTTTAGAGCTTTCAGCAAGTTGAAAGTGGATAATCATCTCTTCAACAAGTAAGTTTATTTTTTCTTTCTTTTCATATTGTGTGCATTTTGTGTGTATCATACAATTGCACGTAATATTGATTCGTTCTTTCCATTGATTTCTTCATGTTTCATCAAAAGTTTCTTCAAAGTAACACGACTAAAAAAATTAAATTTCCCAAATATGAGAAAAAAAAACTATTTTTTAACTTGACAGAAAATTACTAATCAAATAATATTGGCCAAAATATTATACTCTTAACATGATCGAAGTTATATTTTTGTCATTTTCATTTCATAACTCTTGAAAAACGTTTTGAACGATGACAGTTTTGATGATACTTTATGAAGTTAGTTTTACTTTCGATGATTGATTGGGTTTACTTAACTCATTCATGGTAACGACTCGAAAAATTATCACTTTTTAAGTAAGTAAGCGATCTTATATCTTAGTCCACATATCCATACTATTTGTGAACATATAAGTCAATAATGTTTCTAAATATATTCGAGCAACTCTACTGTATATATATATATGAGATAATCTTAGAAATATATTTAGGCAATATATTGCCTATTCAAATGCTGAAGTGTAATAAATTCTATTCTATATTGCCTATTCTTTGTGTATATACATATGTAGATATATGTTAATAACTCTTGGGCTATGTTCCAAAATTTACTGCCAATACTGAAAATCTGTAGTGCATGTAACGTAAACTATAAATTTTCAGTACTGGCAGTAAATTTTGGAATACAGCCTCAATGTGTGCACGCATGTGTATGAAACACTTGGTACTGAGACATACTGACAACTGTTTTTAATTTTAGATTTGTTTATGCTAATAGATAAAGCCACACAATAATATTTGTAATATTGCAGATACTTGCTTACACACAATCTGTTTCTTTTTTTGTGCAGAGAGAACATGCCCTCCCATTTCAAAATCAAGGAATATTGTCCGTTAGTCTTTAGGAATTTGCGAGAAAGGTTTGGAATAGATGATTTGGATTACAAGGAGTCAATGACAAGGTAATATCTTTGTGTTGATTATTCTCGTTAAATTTTGATGTATCCAATATAACACTGTGTACAATACACAACAAATGCACTGTTACTGTATAAAGTTGAAAACTTGTTTTCGCGGTTGCACGATGATATTGTTCGTCGCAAGTGAATTAGGGATGGACAGGCTACTGAAATGGCTTTGTAATATAAGGATTTTGATGTGGTAGATGTCGGGTGTTTAATCCTTCGCGAGCAAAACAACAAACGGATTTGGTCGATGGAATAGGCAGAAGGACTCGTCAATTGGTTCAGCGCGCCGCTACCTTCCCATCGATTACCCTTTCCTCTCCTTCTTCTGCCTCCTCGCACAATTCTATTCTAAACAAACCACTGCGTACCTGCAGTCTTAAACCGAAACGCCTGAGGTTAGCGAAACATGATTTTGCTATGCTGTGCGTTTTCGTTGTTTCTAACAAAGTTAAAGACCTACCAAGGAGCGAGAACCAGCGTGACTAAGCATAATAATTCATTAATATCTCAATGATTGCTTGATTTAAACATAGTAATTTAAAACTCGGAATTAGCTACCATTGAAAGCTTTTCGGATTTAAAGCATGGTGAGAGGATGTTTTAGTCGAATAATAAAAATATCGCTTAATGAGTTAACCAAGATAATTAACAAATCGAGTGCTTTATATCAACAGTGATGATGATGAAAATAACGATAACGGTCATCATCCTATTGATCATAATAATAGAATGAAAGGAACATTAAAGACAATGAGGAATAAATATTCTAATTTTAATTTATAATTGTCAATTAATATTCTTGCATTAACGTAATTAATTATAATGACTCCAATATAGATCAAATTGCTTTACACATCAGATATTCGACTTCAAAAATCCATTGATTATCTTATCTAATATACCGCTCTTGACAATGATTCATCATTTATATCTTTCAAGATTATGCCTCATACCAACGATCATTCGAATTGAACTATTTTTTGATCTTTTACAAAATGCACATCCACACGCATACCCAAGATGCGGTTTGCGCATTTCTTCTTCTTCCAGATCTCAACCAGTGCTTGACGATTCATCTGGGAAGAGTGGTGCAAAATTTTATCAATCTTACGACAAACTGTTTATAATTAAAACCCTCACGAGTGAAGAAGTGGAGAGGATGCATTCGTTCTTGAAACATTATCATCCCGTAAGTATAATCAGAAGAAGTAAATGTCATGAAGATTCAAGACTACACGGACATTGCATTGCAGTATATTGTCGAGCGACATGGAAAGACATTGTTACCGCAATACCTGGGAATGTACCGATTGACCGTTGACGGTGTCGAGTACTACGTAGTTGCCATAAGGAATGTATTCTCGAATCATCTGACGACGCACAAGAAATTCGACCTAAAAGGCTCGACAGTAGACCGAGAAGCGTCAGATAAAGAGAAGGAAAAGGATCTCCCTACCTACAAGGATAACGATTTCGTTAAAGAGGGTATGAAGATTTACATCGGAGAAGAAGCCAAAACTAAGCTAATAGAAACATTAACCGCTGACGTAGATGTAAGTATTTATATAAGAATATAAACTTTGATCCTACAAGATTTTGTACTATCATGAGAAATCTTTTAAGAGTTACCTTGAATTATTTATCGACATAAAAATTGACTTCAAATTTGTGAAGGACTTCGAAGTACCCAAAATGATAATCTGTCTCCATAGTTCTTAACAAGATTACACTTGATGGATTACTCCTTGCTACTTGGCTTACATGATTGCGCGCGCGCCGAGCAAGAGAGCAGAGAACGTGCGGAAAGAGAAGATGACGAGGACAATCACGAAGAAGAGGATGACAGCGAGTCAGGTAGTGGATTGGAGTCTCGAGGCCCATTGGCAGAGTGAGTGGATATTTTTTCTATTCCTTTTGGAATGAAAACTAAGTTCAGTTTCCATTTGATTTATTCATCGGTATCACTCGTTTGTTTGCAGCCGCTTATGGGGTTGGAGTGGCGTCGGTCACACGGTTACCAATATGGCAACACCTCCCGAGTCACCACATGCAGCGTTAATGCGTGACACCAGTTTACAGTATGAAGATGCAATAATACCTGAGCTAGATATTTATGCCATTCCTAGTAAAGAAGGTACTTTCTCCAGATAAACTGATAATCGTACGTGATATACAGGGTGTCCCACAAATTCGTGATCGAAATTTTAATAACATTTCTGATTTAAAAATAAAACAATCCTAATACCAAAATCATAAAAACTTTATAGTCAAGACTATAATAGTTTTTAAATTAATTCGTTATACCTATTTAAAATAATTCGTTATACATACTTATTTTTAATATTCTGTAATATTTTTATGTTATGTACGTTGCATATGTAATTATTTTCTATGTTTAAACATAGTGAAGTATTTCAACATTATTATATATGTTATTACTTCAATTTCACATGGAGTAAACATAGACGTATGAACATCCACTTGTGTATCATCTCTGAGCACGCGAAATGTCAGCTCTGTGATTAGTTAACTTTAACCGCTATTCATTTAAAAACTATTATAGCCTCGACATTTTGGTATTAGGATTTTTATTTTATTTTTTAGTCAGGAATGTTATTAAAATTTTGATCATTGTGGGACACCCTGTATGTGTATATATATATATATACACATACACATTACATACATATATATACATATATATACATATATACAATTGTTACCACATATATTTTTATAGGTGCTCCCATGAAGGAAATTTATTTTTTGGCCATAATAGATGTGCTGACGCACTATGGCGTACGTAAACAAGCGGCGAAAGCGGCAAAGACCGTCAAATACGGTGCCAATGTTGACGGTATATCCACCTGTGATCCAGAACAATACGGCAAACGATTCATAGAGTTCATGAGCAAAGCCATAGAGTAAAAAATATTATTAATCGTTGTGCATAAAATAATGAATTTACGACGATATTACTGTTTACTGTATATTGTCGGAGTGAAATCGAAATCGCAAACCGAAAGAGGGAGAAAAACAGTTTTGGAGGTTAAATTGTTGCAGTCTTTATTCGGTTTGCTTTTCGATACCGATTATCTTCTTTAGCGTTTTCACTTGCGGTTCATACACGATCGTATGAATCTTGTTTCAGCTTTTAAGTGAACACGTCCTTCGCCGATATTGTTTATTAAATGTATTTTACGGCAAGAGATTTTTATTCTCGATTATTACTTTATGTCTATGTTGCTTTGTTTAGTCAGTCTTCACGTGAAGAAATGTGATCGATTTCTCAAATTTGTTGAAATTCTCTTTCTCCGTGATAGAACTTTCAATTGTATATAGTGTTATACTTGCACACTTGCAAACGCGAGAATTGTCATGAAGTAGAAAAACGACGCCTCTTTTTTTTCTGTCACCTGTTCATTTTATCGCGCATTTTTTTCCATCAATGAAAACGATAGTTTTCGATTGCTTCGATAGTTTACAATCTTGTATCATTCGATGAATCATCTGCGACAGAAAATAGCATTGGAATGTAACACCAATTGGGCACAGGTAATATTATCTGTGGATTGAGATAAAAAGCTCGAAGTCGCACAAAATCTTATCTACTGATATCAGTAACTGTAATACTTGAAATTATATTAGCAATTTTTTTTATAGCGGACTATAATAAACGGACATGAGTCATACTATATGCTACAGAAAGATATCTAACTTGATGTGTTACCGTTGCAGTAAATTTCACTCAAGCATTGTGGCGCTTGCCAAGTATAGAGCTGCCTGGATATGCGCCTAATCATATTTTAACATATAAGATGTAATTTTAGTAGCGATGAAACTATTATACGATTGTCCGTTGTTTCGCTAAATTATTGATAACAATATACACTTTGCAGTATCGAAGGCAATGTACACACACGCACACGTACACACACACGTGTATATATGCATATACAAGTCGTTACGAAATAAAATACACTTTGTAAATGTTATATTTAGTCCGGTTCGATTATCACAGATCGATAGTTCAGTTACTTCACAAAATATATCTATGGGGAATGACACGATCCATTGAACGGTATTATCTACACGATACATATCTATCTTTGATGCTCGTAACAACACTCGAGTCGGCAACTTACTACCGTGCCTTTCATTTCACTAAACTACTAAAGAATATTCGAAAAAGACCCATTGTTCTTCCGAAGATAGGATTCGATCTGCAGATCCGTGCATAGTATCGTAAATTGTTTTATTTAACAAGAAAATATTTGACGAAAATTGAACGTAATCGTTGAGCAATTTGTTGTACTATATTATGAGAAAGGAGAATGTGTACTGCGTTACGTAAGACAATATCTAATACACTTTTATATACATATATATATATATGTATATGTATGTGTATACTAGTATATAAAATACATGTATAATTTGTTAGAAAGCCGATCATAATATAATGACTAATCACTCTAACGATTAATATATTCATCTAGTCTTGATATTTCTATAATTTTATATATTTTACCGTTTAATCGCGCGCGTCGGGACTATGGATGCGATTGATGAGAGGAAGGGATATCTGCTGTTGTATATTTGTTATAGGATTTTAGGTTTTGAAAATACAATTGGTTTCTGCGTGATTATCAATCGTATAAGATAGTACGGTTAAAAATCTGCTTCAACCAACGAATCTTCGTTGGAATCTTTTAAACGCGGCAGTGTTATATAGACTACGTTTACACGCACTGGTAAAACCGTTTTAGTTAAAACGGTGTTGGTGCTGTTTACACGATCAGGCGTATTTCACTTCCAAAAATAAAATAGCTTTATACAACCTGATATGGAATCAGAGACGAAATATCCTTTGTCATTTCTTAATCTTAAGTTGATAACATCGAAATTTATTTAATGAAAATGAATTAAATGATTAATGAATTAATTAATGACAAATGTTATCCAGGTCGTGATCCTGAACAACATTCAAAGTTTTAGCCGTCGGTCGGACACCTTGAGTAATGCTAATGCCGAACTGTAACTTTCGAGCCTTATAACTCGAAAAGTACTCGATGAAAAAATATTTTATTATGTTTTGAAAAGCTCTCGAGGTAAGCTACAATATGTAATGAAAAATGGGGGATTCCATTTAAAAAATTCAAAGTGACCTTGCCCTGACCTTGACAACGCCACTCAAGGTCAAATTAATGGTACCATCTTATGTTCCCCTCGAAGTCACAAAACTTTTGTCTGAAACATTTTCCGATTTAACGCAGTGTCTCTGAGATATTTGAATGGATCCTTTAAAATGGGATACCCTGTATATTAGGATGGGGCCGGAAAAAAATTTTTTTTTTAAATCAATTAGGAATACCCCCCAAAAGTTAGCTATGGACCTCAATATGATCTGGGTAAAATGTATTTGCGCTATTTATTTCGCAATAATAATAAATTTTCTTTATATAAGAATATGTTACGGATCCGCCATTTTGAAATGTGTACTTTTGACCTCGGATTCGTGTTCAGCGACCAAAAGAAAAACAAGTAGTACCAAATTGTAATGAAATTCAAATATTTTTTCGAATTTTGACACATGCATCCAAGAAATGCGTAAACTTACTAATTTCAGTCGAAGATATTAATCGATTTCGATGAAATTTTACCCAGGTCATATTGAAATCCATAGCTAACTTTTGGGGGGTATTCCTAATCGCGCCGCGCGCGATTAAAAAAAAATTTTTTTTCAACCCTAACACACACACACACAGAGAGAGAGAGAGAGAGAGAAAGAGACATACACATATATAAATGAAAGACATCTATCCATTAGCATGCATCCTCATGTGTGGCGACAAATCCTTGTTCACATTCAAATAAATTGAGATTAATCGGTATGCAAAGTCGTTTGTATAGTTTTATTACATGTGTAAAATAACGTTGCATTCTTTTCTTTCTTTCTAGTTCAATTCACCATTTCAATCATAAATACAGAATTTGTCTTCCAGCTTATATATTACGATGTATGGATACTTCGGAATTAATTAGGCATTATTTTACGACACACTTAAGAACAAGAGAAAAATAAATGTTACTACTTCTGACAAATGAAATATTTAGCCTTTTATTTAAAAGACTGCGCGAATTCCAAAGTATCGAAAAACAAGAAACTAAAATAGTACTCTCTCAAATATATCTGTTAAATAAATAACAAGAAATAAATAAGAAAAGACTAACAACTCTGTAACTATTTTACAAACTTATCTTAGGACTTACGAAGATTTTTTGGTAATTTACACAAAATTTATGTATTTACCGGATTATTTTCCAATTTTCTGCTCATTACGTTTTGCAATGGCTGGAGATATCTGTTTCAAACATTCTATATCGTTAAATACAATCTGCGCTCCTCCTCCACAAGTCGGCAATACATTAGCCTGCAACGTGCACAAAGATACAATACATTTTTCAAAGTAACGCGATAACAAGCCTTACTTTATACAATTTGGTCTCAAGTTCACCATCCGCGTCTTGTTCCTGCGAAAGAAGGCAGTATCTGGAGGATCTGGCCATAAAATCTTTTGGATTTGTCAACTTTCGGATGGTTCGCTTATGAGGCTGTGTTCGTGGTTGTAAAATCGTACCGGTTGGAACTATCCTGGTAGGACGATGATTTATCCATCTATCTGCATTTTGCACTCGCTGGTATCGTGGGTTTACTACTGGGATCTTATCCTGAATACACACGTAAAAAAAGATCAGCTAACATACATACACGCATTGGTCGAAGAAACAGCATTGTCGAAGCATACAAATTAATGGCTCCTACTCAAATCTACCTACTAAAATCAACCTTTTCTTTACCTTTTTATTAAAATTAATTTTAGTAATAATTGTTGTATCGGTCGACGTAATCGTAGATGACGATGGAGAATCAATGGGCATCGTTGAGTTTGATTTCTCTACAATTTCGGTTTTCGAATCTGAAGGCATGGAAGATTCTGCGACTGTCATTAGAATTGTTTCTTTTGTGGTCTTTCTTTGGACATTGTCAGAATCAGTTCTCATGTGACAGGGTATCTGGTGGATCCGATCACGAGGGCTGGAAATATGAGAATCCATAAATGTCACTGTGGAAGATTTTTCTTTGGACAACGATGGATTTGATTCTTCTGTAATTTTTTCATGGGTATCATTGTTGGAAATTGCATGAGAAGATAATGTCTGGCAGATTTGTCCACAAGGACTTCTGGAAGTTTGAAGATTAATTGGCATCATCAAGGAAAGTTCTTCCTTGGGTATTATCGAAGTTGCTTTTTCTGTAGTCTCTATTCTCGAACTCAAAGCTATTGGTGGCATCAAGATGACATTATCGCATATATCCTCACGAGCTGAAGTTAATATTTGTCTCGCCAATTTCAATTTGTCATCCTTTTTTTTAATACAGCTCTAAAAGCGATTCAGATTTTAATGTATGACTCATCAAAGGTTATCTCAGAAAAGAGAGAGATAATCTCAAGATATATTGAAAAAGAAAAATGATAACTGACATTGATTTGTAATTATAAACTCTAAAATATACCATCAGCTGTTCACGCTGTTCCTGCAATTTTATCTGCATTTCCTTGGTCATTCTGTTAGTCTCTGCTTGTATCATAATACTGCACCTCTGTATTAATTTTTGCTTGTCCAGTGCATGTTGTTGTATATGTTGTTGGAGTTGTATGTCTCTATCCCTCAACTGTACAGAAATTGCATTAGCGTATAAGAAGAAATTTTAATGCACAAATCATTACATTGCAAAAATATGCTTACTTCTTGCTGTACATTCCTCATAGCATCGCACGCATTATTCAACTTATATAACAAGTTATCGATGTGATTTTGTAATTTACAGATACGGCCTTTTAACGTGAAGATCTGCAAAAAATTGTCGCGAAGATATTACTAAAAAGATATTAAGTAGAATACGTGACATGAGCATAATTGAAAGGCTTGAATTGTTACAATTTTTATTATCCTTTCACCATATTTGAATGATCTTTTTTTTATAGTTTTTAGAATTGTGTTACTTTACAGATGTCAATTCACCGTTTCTTATACCAAAAAAAAACGCACAAATTTTTAGCAAAAAAAAATTAAACTGATCGGTTTTTAAACCAAGCCCTTCAATTACATCTTTTGCCGTCACAAAACTCACTATCTTTTTCTGTTCGTTATTGTCATGTCTTAAGCATGTGTTTTCATGTTCCAATTTCACCAATATATTTCTGAAATGATTTTCTGGAAAAATTCAACTTTGAGAAATTACACAGCGGAATGAAATTACATGAATAGTAATTGCATGTTGAAAGATGCATTAAGAATCATACGTTTCTCGCTCACATCTTCTTGCAACAGATTTCTCCTTTGAATACGCGTCTCCAGGAATCGCGATAGCTCCACGATCGTTTGCTCATTTTGTGGATCTGTCGCGTCTGCTTTGGGAAATGAATCATCCAGGCTGCAACCCAAATAGCGAAGTTAGCAGAAACAGATTTTGAGCAGAGTGTACTACTAATTCTGATAGCAGAAAGGCAACATTTTCACACAGAATCTATAATAATATCTGACAATAACGGTAAATTGCAGTCAGAAATAATGACAAAGCTTGTTGACATGCCATACCAGCATATTGGCAGCAGAAATCAGATAAAATTTACAGTTCTTGTTTGGACACAGGTTGCTATAAATTTACAGTGGGAATCTGGTCGAATTTGCTGCTAATCTGCCAGCATACTACTAGTACTTTATTATTATCTAGAAAACGAGACAATTGCGATGTAGAAATGTAAAAATAAACGTTCACGTGAAAATCTGTTTCCAAGTTAACTAACGCAGCCATGTTATTCTACGAAAAACACAAGAGTCGGCAATTGTGGTGTGAATTCTCCGCCAACAATCGTAAACACTTTGCAACTCGTCGAATCAAACAACAACGAAAACGAAAAGCAGGTTGCATATCGTATATACCGTCAGACAACGTCGTGCGGCAAAATATTTGAAATTTAGCGCACGTCGCGCCAATTGGGCGCAACAGGTGCTGAGCGAGTGTGTGTTACCGACGACCGGCAAAGATCGCCAATACCGATGAGATTATAATCCAGAGAATATTTATAGGCTACGTTTACACCGTGCATTTAGGCCGCGGCCTATACAATACGTGTCCTTGTTTATCCTGTAAGTTAAACAAAGCCATCTATCGTATAGGTCGCGGACTAAGCGCACGGTGTAAACGTAGCCATATTAATAATTCTCTGATGCTCGTTTCTACCAATTGTAAATTAACTTTAATCTCGATTTAACTTACTCTTCATCTTTTTCTATTTCTAAGGATTAGAAAAAGAAGAAGAGTAAATTAAA